GTGGGTGAGGGGGGGAGCGAGCGAGAATGTGTGTGTGTGTGAGTGAGCGTGCGTGTGTGTGAGCGTGTGTGCGTGTGAGCGTGCGTGCGTGTGTGTATGAGTGAATGAGCGAGCGAGCGTGTGTGTATGAGTGAATGAGCGAGCGAGCGTGCGTGTGTTGTGTGTGTATGAGTGAGTGAGCGTGCGTGTTGAGCGAGCGTGTGTATGTATGTGTGTATGTGTGTGTGAGTGAGCGTGTGTATGTATGTGTGTGTGTGTGTGTGTGTGTGTGAGTGAGCGTGTGTGTATGTGTGTGTGTGTGAGTGAGTGAGTGAGCGTGCGTGTGTATGAGTGAGTGAGTGAGCGTGCGTGTGTGTGTATGAGGGAGCGAGTGAGTGAGTGAGTGAGTGCGAGTGAGTGAGTGTGCGTGAGTGTGCGTGCGTGAGCGTGTGAGCGAGCGTGTGTGTGAGTGAGCGAGTGAGTGAGCGTGTGTGTGAGCGAGTGAGTGAGCGAGCGAGTGTGTGTGTGTGTGTGTGTGAGTGAGTGAGCGTGTGTGTGAGCGAGTGAGTGAGCGAGCGAGTGTGTGTGTGTGTGTGTGTGAGCGAGCGAGCGAGCGTGTGTGTGTGTGTGTGTGTGAGTGAGCGTGCGTGTGTATGAGTGAGTGAGCGTGTGTGTGTGTGAGTGAGCGTGCGTGCGTGCGTGAGTGAGCGTGCGTGCGTGTGTGAGTGAGCATGCGTGCGTGCGTGCGTGAGTGAGCGTGAGCGAGCGTGCGTCTGAGTGAGTGAGCGTGTGTGTATGAGTGAGTGAGCGTGCGTGCGTTGTGTGTATGAGTGAGTGAGCGTGCGTGTGTTGTGTGTGTATGAGTGAGTGAGCGTGCGTGTGTTGTGTGTATGAGTGAGTGAGTGAGTGTGCGTGCGTTGTGTGTGTGTATGAGTGAGTGAGTGAGCGTGTGTGCGTTGTGTGTGTGTATGAGTGAGTGAGTGAGCGTGTGTGTATGAGTGAGTGAGCGTGTGTGTGTGTGTGAGCGTGCATGTGTGTTTGTGTGTGAGTGAGTGAGCGTGCGTGCGTTGTGTGTGTGTGTGTGTGTGTATGAGTGAGTGAGCGAGCGTGCGTTGTGTGTGTGTGTGTGTATTGAGTGAGTGAGCGAGCGTGCGTGCATGAGTGAGTGAGCGTGCGTGCGTGCATGAGTGAGTGAGCGTGCGTGCGTGTATGAGTGAGTGAGCGTGCGTGCGTGTATGAGTGAGTGAGCGTGCGTGCGTGTATGAGTGAGCGAGCGAGCGTGTGTGC